TAATAGAACATGAATAGATATTTTGGAGACAATTTATTTCTACATAGAATCACCGCTTTTTCACATGTATCGTGTGTATATATGTATTTTTATACAGGTGAGTCATTTAACACTTTATCGGCTTTTCGATTTCGAATGCTTAACAATCGGTAACTTATTAAAATTACGTTGATTTAAAAGAAATTAAAACAGAATAATATTACGAGATTTCTTTACACTTTGATTTTAAAGCTACAAAGCTTTGCATGTGAAAATATACACTCCTATACAATGACGAAACCACACTGATAGTGTGTGAGTGATTGCCTTGATCAGGAGCGGTAAATAAAGTGTTAACTATACCACTTAAATTTACTTGTAAATTATTTTTTGAATAAAAAAACGTTTCAAACAGAAATTATTTGATATCGAGCAGGGCATAAAATGTAACAATTAATTTTTTTGATACTTTGCCTTTTTATTAATATGTGAAGAATTGACGTTCTTTAATTACTTTCTTTGAGGTATTTAAAACACAATAAAGAAGATATAAAAGATGTATATTAAAATGTAAAAATACAAAGTCATCTTCATACTTTAATAGAAAGTGTAATATCAAAAAATGAATTATTATATTTTAGACCCTGCTCGATACCTAATAACTCATTTAGAATATTACTTTATACAATAAATTGGTTTGCATGTAAATTTATACAGTTAAATCACTCACCTCGTATATATACATGCACATACGTACCTTTTTAGAATTTTGTGTATTAAATACTAGCATTGATTCTCCTTGTAAATTTTCATCTTTAACGTAAACCATGTTTGGAAAATCCTCTGAAAATACAAGTTGACCTACAAGGAATATTTGTTCAGGTAATAAGATGCCATTTGGTTTAAGCATACATCTGTAAAGTATATTACAAATTTAACAAAAATTTTATTAAGAAGATAATAGTAAGTATCTAAAATTGTATACCTAAAGAATTCATGACTATGTTCTTGACCACGATCTTTTAGTTCTCCGTTAGTGTCAAAATCATGTACAAGTATAGTATCTAAAGAAGCTTTAATAGTATCATACTTTGATATAAAGCATATCTTGTCCTTAAAGCCATTTTGTTTTGCAACTTCTTCTATGAAAAGACGAAGCATCATGTTTTCAGTTTTATAATATAAAATTTGGCTGTACTTATTTTCCTTCAATAACATTAATCCATAAATAGGAAAAGGAGATGTATCCAAAATACTATTTATTTCTTTGTTCACTAGAGACTTACTGACATCGGTAAGTAATTTTATATATTCGTGATCATTTAAAAACGTTATAACTTCTTTTGGTAAACGATATATAAATTTTTTCTGATCATAATTAGTAAATGTATTATTTGCTGTATAAGAACATTTCAATTTTCCTTTCAATATTTCTCCATTAATTGTTAATACATCTCCTTGTTTAAATAATATTGGCATTTCTGGGAAAACAGCAGTCTGCCAACAAGTTCTTTTATCTGATGTATCTATTGATATTTCCTCATCAAGATGTAATTTAAACCAACTCACTAAACCATCTACAATGCCATCATATTCACACTTTATATTTATCTTACTCTTTATGCCATCTGCATTAAATTTATGTAAATTTGATACATCATTAAAATCAACAGTGAAAAGAACTTTGGGTCTTGTAATATAATTAACTTTCACATTCTTCAAATGTTCTGTGTCATAATACTCATCATCCAATAATATAGATATATTATCAAAATTTAAAGGACACGAATTTTTTAAGTGATCAAAGACTACAGATGACCTGTTCCTCAAATATTCACATTCCACTGCAGCCACATAAAGTGTAGCGCTCATGGGTATGATTATGCCATTTCTATCCAGGATATTTGTGTGAACACTTAATAGAGATGGTATCACATGTTCTCCAAATAAACCAGCATCGAATGTTTCTGTCACAATTAATTTGACTCTGTAAAAATATATGTATTTTTAACGAATGATGTACTTTCTTTGTATTTACACTAATACTAGAACTACCAAACAATCAAAATAGACTAACTTGTATTTTCTTATACAAATTGCAGGAATGCATATTTAAGATTTTGTTTGATTCATGTTTTACTATGCACGTTATTGAAGTAATTTATTTAAAACTTGTTCATAAAAATATTTATATCCTTTGAATAATTATACAAAAAGAAATGGGTCTTTTTGACTAATCTGGTAATTCTAGTTTTAAAACTGACTACTATGAACAAAGGACGGACCTTTCTGTAATATCACTGGGTATTACAAGGTCTGTGGAAAATTTGGGCAATAATATTATATCTTCAACATTGTTACTTTCAAATACTTTCTCAGCAACTTTTATCATTGTCATTGAACATTCACATGCATAAACTTTTTTAGCACCAGCATTTCGTGCATATAAACTTAATAACCCTGTTCCAGTTCCTATATCTAATACTGTGTCATATCCTTGAGAAATTTTCTTTCGTATTGCACATTCAAATGCATTATTTCTTTGTTTATCGTTCAACATCGGAAAGTGCCACCTATCTACAGCCATACTAAATGCATTTTGTAAATTTCTTTCTGCTGGTAGAAAATTGGGATTGGCTTGCAGAGCTCTTTTTAAATATTTTATTGCCCTTATTGGATCATTATTCCTTTAACAATATATTTTTAATCCTCATTATATGGAATTTTAGCGGTCATGATATCTGTCACGTTAAAAAATCAATTTTAAATCAACTAGTTGTATGTTTACCCAAGTCACTGGTTCAAATTACCTTAAAAGGTGGGCTGCAAAATTATTTAACATGCGTGGGTTATTTGGATAAATATCTAAAGAATGTGTATAACATAAAACAACATCTTCAAATCTGTGGTTGCATGCAAGCTGCATTCCCCATTGACCTAAGAAATAAGTATTCATAATTTTGGTATTAAGTAACTGTAAACTATAAGTTATAAACATACAAAGTACGTCGACAAAAGCTTCTTCAATTTCTAATCTCTTTGTTGGACTTAATTCTGCTACAACTGTATAATATGCATATGCTTTTCCTACATTTCCAGTTCTGTCATGATCATATGCTTTTTTTAATGACTCTGTGATTATATTGTTTACTTCCTTTTGCATTTTTAATAAAATACAATATGTCCTTTAATCTGAGTTTGTCATAAAAATGCATACCCCTTATTATTTTCTGTAAGCAACACAATATTTTATTAATCATTCAAACATCTAAGTTAAAAAGGAATGAATTTATACAACAAGAAAATTTAATTTTTTTAAGGATTGTGCATTATCATTCCTTTATGTCTGAAGTAGCTTGTAATTATGTCACATGTGCAACTATTAACAAATTAAATTTTACATAATATTTTACAATTAAATGAAGTTAGAAATGTAGTACACATAGAGAATTTATAGACATTATTGTTTCATAAAACAAATATGATTTAAACAAACCTTGTAAATTTGTTTCACAAAACAAATAATATATTAATATTTTCTTTCTATACTTATATTTACATTTCATCAATGTAAGAACTGTACTGCATAATGTATAAACTGTACTGTATAAAAAGTTGATGTTTTAAGTACAAATTTATCTGTAATTTTGTTCAAGCTTTTGAAAGTTACAAATAGTTCTTAACACATTCAAAGCCAATTACTTCTAACCCTAGTTCGTTATACTACCCCCATAGACAAGTTGCAATAAGTTACAAAATACACTCAGGTACCTTGAACATAGAGTAATCTCACAATACGAAACTTCTATTGAAATTTTTTATGTTTGTATTCACAAATTGGATGATCTTGAAGTATAACTACACTGGTATTACTGTTTCTTTGCATACGGTAACTCTATCATTCTCTATAGCAGAGATGTCTAACTTTCCTCACACTAGTAACTCGAAAACAGCGTTCCCCCACTACCTCTATTCAAGGAACTGCCCGAGATTGTAAATGTGAGCAGTTCTATGTAGTATTCAATACAAATAGATAAAAATAGTTAAAAATAGATTTAGATATATTACATTATTGAATACTTTTATTTTACATATACAGAACACATATACAGTAATCAAAGACGAGATATATAGATAGCTTTAACAAACGAATGTAAAATTTTTTTACGCATTCATTGAGGGTTTTGGGACTTTCTTAACATTTTCATGTCAGGCCCTGTCATATCGACTTAAATTGATTTTGCATAGCCGCGTTATAAGTGATAGGAATTAGAATAAAAAATATTAAAATACAGACTTAAGATATATACAAACATTGCAGCTTATGTGAAGTTTTGTGTAGTCCTTTGGGGGTCTTAATATCCCCGTAACATTTTGGTATCGCATTCGACGTTACCGATAATACAAAATTTTAGGCTCGATAACAGGAATCAGGGTAGTTGTATATGTAACTATGTACACATAATTATTTAATGGAATAATTAATAATTCCTATTTTGATTTTAGTTACGATCTAGTTATTAAATTTTGATGACCTCAAGAGGTATGCTGATTGAGAAAGTGAATCGCTCGAACGCTTTTATTGCCAATCATGAGTTTCGTACAGATCTAACTTTCCAAATTTAACGATAATGTAATGTTTAGAGCCGGTAACAGTGTAAAAATTGACCTCTCAAGACACATTTTCCATATTGTAGTTTTATATAGTTTAGTAGTTGATCGTTCGATGGTAGAGTTTGCTAGTGTAACAAGGCATTTTTGATGGTATCTGTATTTCAGAGACATATTTACTACTTGGTCAATTTCTATCATTTTTCTTGATGTAGTTTTCCTATTCACCATTTTCTAGACGTAGAGGGCAGAGCAAAATCTTTGATTTCTTACGCAGTCGGTAATTCAGAACATGTGACACCGAGTCCCATGTGCTTGCAATGCCTACCCTGCACCTCGTCTGTAATGTTACATAGAACTGCTCATATACAGAATCTTGGGCAGCTCCTTGAATAGAGATAATTAGGGAACGCTGTTTCTGAGTTATTAGTATGAGGGGAGTAAGTTAGAGACCTCTGTTATAGAATATCCTTGCAACATATATTGATACTATTACCTATATACCAGAAATTTGTAATCAGTATCTCTGTTTTAGATGTTTGTTGTATAATACGTGATCAATGATCACATATTTTGTCTTCAAATATAGATTACATAATTGTGAAAGCAGAACAGCATAAATAACTATAAGAAGTTACAAGTATTTAGAAAAATTTAATATTGAGACAAAAGAATGAAAAAGCATAGGTTTTTTTATTTATTTATCTGTATTTACTTGTACTCTGTTGATAACGTTTTAAGTGATACGGGAATGGTAAAGGGATCACGTAATTCTTCGATGGTGGGACAAAAATTTGCATTGCATGTCCAGTCTATCCTATATCTCGTAGGAGGTATTATCATAGTAATGTTACTTCCTACGTTGCCGTTATAGTATACGATAGGGAGTTCCATAATTTTGCAGAGCTCTATATTAGCTATGTACCAACATTTGCATAAGAGGGTGTGAATGCATCTTTCAGTCATTCAAAAGAAGATGCATTCAGGAATGTATCTACAAATGATAACATAGTGCATCTGCATTATCATTTAATAATATTGTGATAGTAATAATCAATATTTATTTTTGTAATGTACGAATATCGAAATAGGGTAGCAAAATCATTCCATTAAATATTTTTATTTACTTATAATTATATACTATTAGAAAGAAATTAAAGATTCTCATCATTACTGTTCGTGACATAAGTTACGTTCAAGCAATTACTATTTTAATAATTGTAACTAAAGCAAAGAGGGGTTAATAGAATAACTTACAGATTTCTATACAGTCCTTTTAATTTAGAAATTCTTGTAAGTAGACACTGATATGAATAATATAATTATATACGTATATACAATAAAGAAAATTCTTTTGTGTTGAGTTTGAATTTTATATTTCTGCGCATCTAATGCTATGGCCGGTTTGTAATTGATATAGATTGTTGATCAAATTATCCTATCAAATGAGATTGAATCTTTACACCAGTGGAATATAATATCAGAGACTTCGAGTGTTCTGCAACTACATACATATTTAGTTCATGAGAAAATGTAAAAGAAATAAATTTCTTTAATTTTGTAAGTTTGAGATTACCCGAGTTCAAATAATGAAATTCAAACGTAGATTCTATTTCCTGAAAAAATAGTCATGCAGAATCTCGATGTCTCGGAACATGCAATTTCCACAGCAACGGCACATCCATCGTGGAACAAATCGTAAGTTCGTTTGATGTTCAGAATAAAGTCTCTCGTATATCTTCAATACTTTGTATACCTTATTTATTTTTCTTTTTCATCTTCGTATAATAATCATAAACGTACAATTTAAAACAATAGTGCTCGTGTGTGAGTGTGTATGTTGTGTACGTGTATGCAATGTACAGGATAATCTTTAAGCTATAATACAGTTCGAAATGAAATACAAATCAATAAACTATTACGTTAGGTAAACCTTCTCGATCTTTTTTTGTTTTAATACAATTATTTTCACTACTGAATGACAATGTTCGTTTTCTTTCTTCGCATGTGTATAATACCTCATTCCGCTTGTCCCTCTCGAAATCTTTTGATCATTTGATTCTGCGGATCTGGTCCGCGTAATACGCAAAGAGCCTCGACGTCTTCTCTTTTATCCCTCGAACGTTTATCTACAGTTACCGTTTTTACGCCGCGTCTGTTTCCCCCGTTTCAATTTTTTTGTTATTTCTCTCGTCGTTTCTGTAAAATATTCATTATTATGTTTACGATATGATTTTTGTTCACCTCGTTCCGGTGGTTCTGCGTGGAACCTCCGCTCGCGTGTCCGCACGAAACCGTTCCCTATATTACAAACCTCCACACCCGAGACACCGGGTCCTCGCCTAGAAAGCCGTTTCCGCTTAAATAATTAAAGCTATCTGCTATCTAGAGTCTATTCGATATCTACAGAAGAACCTATCATGTCTCTCGCTCGAGAAATAAAAGAGGAGAAAAACCGTGGAAAGAAGGGTAGGATGGGGGTAGGGGTGCGTTGTATATTTCGAGGGATTTCTGGCGCGTAAAAACAAAGAAACCGCGCGCCGATCGTCCCCTCAGAATCGAGTTTCACAGGTTTGCCCAGCTGCGCGATCGGCGACGATCGGCCCTTCGCGTCGTAACCCAACGAGACTGACAATCATCCGATGAGAACACGTTCACTTCTCACCGGGTTCGAAGGTGGTTGACTTTGAGATCCTTTTTGTCTGTTTCGCTTTTTTCCTGTTCGCTCTTTTCAACAATTCGTTGACATCAGCCCCTTCTGTCGATGTCATTAAGTTACGAGCAACGATAACTAATAATAATAATGATAATAATAATAATGTTTAAAATAATAATAATAATAATAATATTATATAATAATATAATATAATATAATAATAATAGTGATAATAATAATAATTTTACGAAATAATGCGGGTGACAATCGTAGCGATGACAGGGATGATAAATAATATTGTATACTGATGATGCTAGTCTCCCGGAAATTGAATTCGAACGAAAGAAACAGAATGTCGGATCACTGGTCTCTCAATTAGTAATGCCCTTTTTTGTTTTAAGTGTTCTTCTCACTGGTGTAGCTGTGTCTCGCTCATCATTACGCACACGCGCACTCGCTCGATCGGTCCCACTCGCGTCACTCGCTCGCTCGCTTCTCATTCACACTTTCTCTCGTTTAGCCATTGTTCGTTTTTTTTAAACAGCGGACTAGAATTTAATTGAAGATTAAAATTTAATCTGGTAAATACAAGTTTGATTCGTAATATCGAGGATAATTTTTTTTTCCTTTCTTGTTTGCCCCTTTCACACGCGCACACAAAACACGCATACTCCGTGGTGTCTCACTCTGCGCTCTCTCAGACTTCGATAGTGGTATGGTAATTTCTCGTAATTATATGCTCTCCTGCCGCGGCCACATGATTATCAGCCTTAACGGTGCGTTTCCAACTTCGCCGTCGTGGATTCTCCGTCCACGATTTGTTGTTGTTTCTTTTTCTCTTTATCATTTTTTCCTCTGCGGTCGCGCTCGATTCTTCTCGGTTTCGCGGTTCGGTCGCTTCGGATCCGATTTGGAAGCTCAACGTTAAGTCTTTCTGCTCATCGATCGCGTTCAGTTCCGCGTAGGTATTATCGCTATTAGAGAGTTAAGTGTGGTAATTAAGTATAATATACAAGATCGTGTACGTGTAATGTTCTCGTTATGCTCCGAGTCTCTTTTCCCTTTGTACAGTTATTTACAACGTCGATGCGAGCTGACGGTGGCACGCTTTAACACCCGGTTTAAAGATGCCGGCGCATCTTCTCAGCGCTGGGGGACTTTAATGCGTCCCCTGACGCGTCGTTTTTCATTTGTTTTAAATTTTTATCATCGCATATAAGCTCTATCACATTGGCTTCAAAAGCCGTATATCATAATCGCGATAAGTATTCGAATGGTAATAAAATAATACAATAAAATCAATAATAATAATAATGTATAATAATAATAATTATTATAATAGTAATAATAAAATAGTAATGATAACGTAAGCCTAATAATACGTTAATATTGGTAGTAACTGATTACCTCGATCACCGAACGTTTCATATAATTAGCTTCTCTCTCTCTCACACACACACACGCACGCATGCACGCATGCACGTACGCACACTCTCTCTCTCTCTTTCTCTCACTCACTGACTCACTGACTCACTCTTTCACTCACTCACTCACTCACTCACTCACTCACTCACTCACTCACTCACTCATTC